GATGAAGATGAGATGAGATGAGATGTCCAATTACTGCAAAAAAGTTTTAAAAAACCTACTTACACAATCAAATGTCTAAATATTTGCCAATCAATTCTCTGTTGATTAACAAATTGATTATCATTTCATATCATCGTTTCAGTTCCAGCTAGAACCATATTTGCTTCTCACAGGAAGCTTGTTGCCCATCTCTTTGTACACTGCTGCAGCTTAGAGGACCTTGACAACAAGGTTTCTGAATATATCCCAAGCTGCCAACACCCTGATGAAGTATTATGAAGAGCCCTGATACAAACAGACAAGAGCTGGTAAATGGTCAGGGGGCTGTTTCTGTCAAAATACAGTATCTAATGAACATCATGTGTTAGCACTTCACTCTGCTCTTGTTGATAATACAGTACAGCAGCAGCTTTAGGAGTGTTAGAGGTGCCGGACAGCACATATGAGTGTGTGAAATGAATGCAGACATACTGTGTATTGGAAACATATCAACACACACAAATGCTCAATGTTTATATTGATCGTGCAGACCTTCCTCTGACTTTCTATATCTCTAACCTCAACCCTCACTACCACATACCTAAATGTAATTGTAATTTTAACCCTATTCTACCCAAAGTCCAATCTAACCTGTTAACTGCTCCATCGGGAATGTTTGTGACCACAGAAGGAAGACAGAAATCTTCAATCATGATGAGAAAAGAAACACTAAATATTATAATTTCATCAAACACCTCACCTGGTTACCTGCTAGAGCTGGCGCCCCATGTACTAAGGATGAGTTCATGCTGCAGTGGCCATGAGTTCGACTCTCAACCTGTAGCCCTTTGCTGCATGTCATCCCCTCTCTCTCCCCTTTCCTGTCATTTTACAGCTGTCACTATTGATTAAAAGGCAATAAAATGCATGGATTTCCTCCATCTGAAATCAGATATTGGGTTCAAAATGTGTGGTATTCCTCCGACAGTCCAAAGACATGCAGTTAGGTTAATTGGAGACCTTTAAACTGCTCTGTTGTGATAATGGTTGTCTGTCTATATGATAGACTTGTGACCATTGGTGACTCAGTGCATGCTGGAATAGGCTCCAGCCCCCAGTGACCCTGCTAAGGAAAATCATTTGTTATTTTCTCAGGGAAAAGTCTCTAAAAACTTATGTAAACTTTAAATGAAGCCATAGTCTTATAAAACATGATTTTTTTTTCTCCTGCTTGTCAGGGCTTTTCGATCTCATAATAATAAGAATATAAGAACACATACAAATGCAAACACACATTATATGCAAGTCATAGATATCAAATTGCATTAAATCTCTATGTTTAAACTTCTTATATACACTATTCACATAGTGTATATAAGACGCTGTTTACAAACATAGTTGCATATTTTTTTCCTTTTGTCCCCAGATAATAATAGGCTTTCCGATTTCTTCCGTCAACTACCTCAGTTCCACTGTCAGGCCTTGTCAAGCTTGAGCTCTGCACTGATATCACTCTCAATCTGCCACCTCCTGGTTTTAATTGGCTCATTTCATCGCTGCCTGGTTGTCAAGACAACACAGAGGGTTGAGCGCTGTCTCTTAATGACAAGCATGAGTCAAAACACGCTTTCCCCCAGGTGAATGGGAGCCACGGCTCTGCATCAATCCCATCATCAGTACAGGGACATAAATCATGCTGTGGGGGAGGCCGTTGCAGGAGAACGGTTGCATGGCCCACGCATCAAGACGAAATAAAATAAAACAACAGGGAGGAGGAGTGGGCACACTGCGGAAAACACGAGGCCAGGTTATTTCAATGTCAGCCGAACGTATCGTCGAATGGATTTGTTATCTTAATGCTTAAAGGAGTGGATAAGTCATAGGACCAACGCTATTTATTGTGATAGAAGGTTATTGTAAACTAGTGGCCATGGTTCAAAACATGCTAGACTCATGCTGTATATCTTTTGGCTCCTTTCGTGAAGTACATGCAATGCTTCATATAGCTTTTATTTATTTACAAAATTACATAATATTTTTTATGTACGATTCCATATCAAAGCCCTCAGTTGCTCAAAGAATTTATATATAATGGCGGGATCTGCCTGGCTTACTTGTTATTGTGAAAGACATTATAACATGATCCCTTCTAATGTCAATGAGCCCTTTACTTGCTCAATTTTTCTATAACATCTTATATTACCAAGAGATTCCAGTTTTTTTTCACAGCTATTTTTATGTAATAACATAATTCACAGGCAACATTGGTCCAGCCCTTAATCACGACACTAACCTAGAGGAGGCATGTTTTTTCTCTTTACAGTACATTTAACTTACCAATTAAATCTCTTCTCCGTTAACTTCCGAATATAGAAAGTATTGTTAACGTAGGCTGTTCACCATGCGTGCACCCACTATGCTATAGGAGTAATTTAAGCCAAAATTTTATGTACCTGTCTCCATAACTCAAATTATTGATGTTAATAATACCTTTCATTTTATAAAATAGCTAAAACAGCGAAGTGATGGAGAGATTCTTATTTAAAGGAGGAGTCTGGACCCTGACTGCTAATGTGAACACATGCTCATTATTCGTCTTCAAGCCTCAGTCAAGGATGCCCTGATTGTCTATGCATGGCTCTAGATCACAAAAAAAATGAATCATTCAACATTTATGGGAGCTTTCTTCTTATTAACGTGGCTGTCACCCTGCCCACTATACCAAATGGCTTCTAAACTCAAATGAGTTAATGATTTAATGCTGTAATTAAAATCAAACATTTATCAGCACTTTTACTCAACTTGCATTTGTCAACATTCATCCATCATCACCCATTTATGCTCTTTTTTACCAGGGCTGTTCAGCATGAATCCACTATTGTGTACTTTACTATGTCATTGAAAAGCCTTTTAGACTTTGTTGTGATGTTACAGATTAGCTCTCCATTTGTGGCAGAATGGAGGCTATTCAGATTTATTGCCATTGACCACACTCCTCCATCATTAGTGCACAGCATGCGTTCGCGTGTGCATGCTGACCTGTCTCTGGTAGTTTCCAAGACAACCACGTACTACTCAAAAGACAGAAGATGGCTCATTATTTCTGTTGCATTTTGAACCTAATATTTGTAGGCATTCTATGAGGATGCAGAGACGGGCCTCAGCTTTCAAATCAAGCAGTATGGAAAGGTTTTAGATAATATTAGACCCAGCTACACAGAGCAGATGAGGACATAAAGTGTGTGTGTGTGTGTGAATCAGATTCTCACAGGCTCTGTTCTTGTTCTTGTGTTGCAGTTCCTGTTGCTCATCTTCTCCTGTCTGAGGAAGGCTGCATGGGACTATGGACGCCTGGCTCTACTAATGGAGAATGACAGGTGAATCCAAAACACTGGCTGTCTTACACTTAAAAAATCTCATACACCTGCTGGTCTGTGAGCTATGTCAACATTTAAGATGGAGATATTATTCTCAGTGGAACCACTCCTGAGTGCTCATCCTGAAGCCTCCAGCTCCCTCTGCTGAGTATAAATGGTACTGCGTAGAAAGCAAATAACTGCAAAGAGCTTCTACATTTGTTTAATTTAAGATGTAAATCTTTAATAACTTAAAGGACAAGGATAGTGTTATTTAAGCTGGTGTTATTTTTTTCCAACTGTCAAAAAATCCCAGGAACAGAGTAAAACAATGTGTTAGTCAGTTACTTAATACTTTCCATATTTTTTGTGGTCTGTGGCACTCAACCCCAAAGTCCACTGGTTCCTAGTAGAGAGGTAAATTTTTAAAGCGGTTGAAAAATACAAGTAGAATTTTCCCAAACAGCTGGGCACTGTAGTTTTTAGCAAACGTTACTTGAACACAAGTAAATAATGCATTATTGTACTTTCAGTTGCAGATTAACACACACTTGTGAATTTTTTAAAGCAACAGGACATACAAAAGAAGAAAGAAAAAAATTAAGCTTTGTCCAGACATACAGTATTTGTTAGAATAATTCATTGTTGGTTTTAGTATCTTCATGGTATTTGTTAACAGAAATATAGAATACCACCAGACTTCTCCTTTAAGCAATTGGTTGATTGTATAATATAATAGCATTTAACAGTATTTAGTGAGATATCTTTAAGGTAACAAAATGAGTTAAGGTCCACCCAGTAGTTTGCATGAGTCTGCAGCGGTTTCACTCTGCTTGACCTGAGTCTCCTCTCCAGGGGATTGTGGACCTGGTTAGTTCTGCCTGATCGACAGCGGCTTCATTGCACCCGAGGGCAAGCAGCATCTGTGTGTTTTGCCAAGCGGTCCGCTCTCATACTAATTCAATTATCCTGCTTAATTTGACACGCTGTTGAACTGTCAATGGTACGGCCCACAGAGAGCTATCCACAAACTCAATCAGCACACTGGCTTTATTAGATTCGACCGTACTGTATGTGCTTTATGTCTTCTCTATGTATAGACACACATAGGGATTGATTTCAGGCAGATACTGTGGGTCTGTCTGCAGCGGTTACATTGTGTTTGGTGTGATCGCCTTTACAGCACTGAATTAAATATTGTATGTATTGATTAGGTCGTGTCATGCCACAATCAATATGATGATCTTGCTATTTCTTTGTTTATCTTGTCTTCATAATTCAGTCTCACATCCCTGTTTTATGGAGAACCAAGTGAGAAAGAGAAGTCTCCATCAGAGTCCAGTCCCTCTGACTCTGACACCAAGGACATGGTGAGTTTTTTGTTTTTCATCAGCTCCTAAAAGCACCAACAAACCCCTTAATAGCATTTTCAGTTAAAGGTACCCTGTGGGTTTCATGCTAAGCAAACACTATTTTGTTTACACCCAGCCTCTCTCAACAAAATGCATTTTATGTGTCCTAAAGGTCTAACAAAAATATCCTCCCTGATAAAATATTTGCAAAGTCTACTTAATGTGTTGAAACCTGCATTGAACATTCAGTTAACATTTTAATGAGGTCATTTTCTCTGGCCTTACTGTAAAGCTCTAAAGTAATTTGAAAAAGGGATCGCACATAGTGATGAAACCACAGAGAATTATCACCTAACTCTATAGTTCCTTTCAGCTGTATGGAGAATCTTTTAGCTCATTATTTTGGTTTTACAACACTTTAAAAACATTAACAAACTGCATGCTATCTGTCTTGCTCCAAATGGCAGGCAGACAAAGTTAGCAATTAACTAGTGGAACATTTAGCAGCAATAAAAATTTGATTGGTGAAGACAAGACCAGAGCTAAAAGAAGAATGAATACTGGAGTTGTTACAAAACACAACTCTAAAATGAATGCTAATTTTGCTCCTTGTTAGCTGGATGTGTAAACGGGCATACATTGACATAAGGCAAACGTGGCAATAATAAACTGATATAAATAATTGTGCTACAAGACACTAAACCTAACCCATTAAAAACTGTGCAACTACAGTGTTGGTCCAACATGTTAAGTCTTGTTACCCAGAAGGAGCCTCAAACAAATATTTACATTTTTTCTAGATATATTTGTGTTTTTTATTTTTATTTTTTATGAAATGCTCTTTCTTCCTTATTTCTTGGAAACAATGGAAAATATTCCACTATTGCTTCCTTAACTGCCAGAATTGTCACATGCACAGCAACTGAAGCCAGCAATGGCAATCTGCAGTATATTGGCATTTTGTCATTGAACCAGGAGCTTTTTCATTTTGTTTGTAAGTATGACGATCCCTGAGGTGCTCATGTTGTGGCTGTGAGATGCCGCAAAGACACTAAAAGTTGTGCGTCACAGGTACAAAGAGAAAGCATCATGGGAAAAGTAAAAACAAGTCCACTTGTCTAAGATGGCACTGCGACAATTGTTGTAAGAGGAAAGTTGGGATTGTGACTCAGCTGGACTGCCTGTGACTCCATGACACCTGTGTGTGATAGAGTGAGGTCACTCCCTGCATGTTTATAACGGTGTAAGACAAAGAGTCAGACTGGAGTCATCGCTGTGTGCCTACACAAAGCTGAGGCTGCAGTAAAGTGGTTACTGCTCCAGGCTAGACCTATTAAATCTCCATCTCTGTGTCACTCTGCAGACCTTATTACTATGCAAATAGTGGATGCATGCAAGTAGCCAGATGTGGTGTGCGCAAACTTGCATACGTATGTAATTTATTATCTTTAATAACGAATCCATTGGATGTTTTATGATTCTCTTCTCCTTCCAGGGCTTCTGCTCGTGGCTCTCATCACTTTACCATATGAAGTAAGTTCACAAAGCAGTGTAATTATTTTACCCGTCTCTCATCTTAGCTTCCATCCTTTTATTGGCCCTCTGTCTTCAAAGCTGATGTCACTGTCGAATGTAAAGTCCCATGTTATATCTCATTTAGCAGGAAAAACAAACGAGTCTGGGCTCATGTGACCACTGGTGCCGTGGTTTCCCGTTGAATATTTGCACTTGCTCGAGTCTGACTGCACACAACAGATTAAGGCCTGTAAAAAGGCGATTTTCACGGTGCCCATGGTTTCCATAGTATTGTGGTAGAGTTTGGGTGCTTCTGTTTTTAGCTCTCATGCCAGTGGCTCACCCTGGGATCCCTGGGAAAGTGCAAACCCACCCTGCGAGTTCGCAATGTGTGGGCTGCAATGAGACCAGCATGCACCTCTTTTCTTCTTTTTTTTCATGCTTTTTTTGTTCTATTTTATGACACTCGGTTTCCTGAACCTCCCGCCTGGTAACCACAGCTTCTGGAACCAAAGCAGTGGTGCCACAGTTTTACTCATGATGAGGTATAAGCTGTCAGCCCATTTATCCTGGCAATAGACAGAACTGCATATATTCTAGATTCAGATGGCACTGCTCTGATCATCACATCTGCATGTGTGGAAATTCCACTGTTGAACATTTTGCAGCATCTCTGTTTTTATTATGTAGCATAGAGAGTTTTAGATCTCTTGGATATGCGATTAAGAGATTCTGAAAGTTTCCCCTCTCTCTGTTCTTGCAGGGATGAAGAGATCCGTAGCAAATGTGGCATTGATGCTGTCACATACCTGTCCTTCCAGCGCCACATCATCCTGCTCATGACAGTGGTTTGCCTGCTGTCTTTGGCCGTAATCCTGCCGGTCAACTTTTCCGGTTACCTCCTGGGTATTTTTGTCTCTACATGATGGTCTAGCTAGCCGACTCTTTGAAAAGCCAAGGGATATCCTTAACTTCAGGAGAGAGACTTGGGGCACCTCGCAGGGAGAGAGGCCAGGCCACACAGAGACAATCACACACATCTACACACTAAATGATTTGGCTAAATGCTTAGAAACGTAAGCTGTGGTCAAGCTTAGTTAAAAAAAACCTGTATCCTGTATAAATGAAATTAGAGCAAAGTTGAAAAGGTTATTCTAACCTAAAATTACCCATTTAACAACATTGTGAAGTACATATAATTACTGCTGTTTACATACACAGAGGCTGCATTTCTTGTAATGGGAGTTGCTAGCATACCAGTGGCAATTCCCCAAGTAGGATTTTAGAAATAGAAAGTGCTTCATATCCTTTTAACATACACATGTAGGTGTTAGGGGTGGCACGGTGTGGAAAATTAGCTGCTAAATAACAGCAGAAATGCCTTTTGGCAGTTGTGTGCTTATTTTGTAGGAAGTGTTGAGTAAGCCATTCCATAACAGGATGAAGGCAGGAGCCATTTTGGGGTCTACGAGGAGTTGGGCTGTCCACACAAATGTTTTTATTACTGCTGGCTGTCATCTTATGGACTAGTGTGTCACCCTAGTCATTAAATAAACCAACACCCATTGACAGGCTGCCATGGCAACAGCAAACAAAGGGTGCCCAAATTAAAACAGCAGAGTTACTAGGCATGACTGCAATGTTTGAATTTTGTGTGAAATTTCATTGAGATGAGAGAGATTTCATTAAATTGGATGGAAAACGTTTTCTCTGAATACTCACATTGCTTCATTGTTGCCTTAACCTCCAGACAAAAGAGGAGGGGTTTTCCTTTAAGTCATTTAGAAAGTAAAATGTCTCACTATCTGTCATGTTTCATTATTTCTACAGGAGACAGTCCGGAAAACTTTGGAAGAACAACACTGGCTAATGTTAGCGCAAAGTAAGTCTAACACTTAAACAAATGACATCAAATCTCATGAAACAGCGCAGAACTGTGAAAAAACCCTGAAAAATCTGTATTTGTTTGAATCACACTGGTGTTTTTGTGGCTCACAGGGACAGCTTTCTGTGGCTCCACAGCATCTTTGCTCTGGTCTACTTCATCATCACGTTGCTGTGTATGGCTCACCACTCGCTGCGGCTGGAGTACAGAGAGGATGAGAAGGTCTGTCACCAGCACATCATACTGTTTAAACATCAAGGCTTGGCCATGACTCCTCTGCATAAATATTCATCTTATCCAGTCAATCTCTCTAGTTTAGTGTGTTAGTATTCCAACATTCGTTAGTTAGCAATCAGAAGGTACAAAAAAGTAACATTCTGCTGTGATGGTTGCATTAGATGAAAAGTCTATGCATCCCCAAAATAATTACAATTCATCCTGGGGGGGACATGAATGTTAAACCTGTTAACCCACACATCATGGCAATCCATCCAGTAGTTGTAGAGACATTTCATTCTGAGCCACAAGTGTCAACCTGCCAGTGACGTTGGATGTAAATTCAAAGGATTATGTGGGATTTATCATCTGTGGACAATGAATGTGTGTACCAACTTTGTCTATGTAGTTGTTGAGATATTTCTGTCTGGACCAAAGTGGACCAACAGACCGGCAGTGCCATCCATAGAGCCACACTGCTTCAGTGCATGACTACTCATGGTGGTTGTGTTATGTGTTGCAGGTAGCAAGGACACTGATGATTACCTCCATACCAAGAGAGATCTCGGACCCAGAACTCATCACCAAACATTTCCAGTAGAGCACATGTTTTCTTCTCTATTTCATTGTTCAGTCAAGTTATATCCTTTCCTTATGTTTGATTTGTGTCATTTTCTGCAAACACATATATGCACAATCCCATCACCTTCATTCTGATTAACTCCTTTTACTCTTTTCACCAGTGAGGCCTACCCCAGCTGTACTGTCACTGATATCCGCTTCTGCTTTGATGTCCACAAACTGATGAGGCTGGACTTAGAGAGGTACAGTACAGATTAGAGCAACACAGTTTGTGATAAGTGTGAGGTTCTTGTCTGAGGATGCTGTGTTTTTGCAGGCGCAAGGCAATGAAGGGCAGGTTGTATTTTGCCACAAAGGCCCAAAAGGAGGGGAAGATTGTGATCATGACCCATCCGTGTGCTCAGATATTCTGCTGTGACATCTGTGGCTTTGAAAAGGTAATTTTTGTCATTAGTGCTGTAGTAGATTAGTAAATGACTGTCTTTGTAGACTTGCAGCATAGTTGTGTTGCACAGAAAGTATGTTACCACTGGATGGCACTGCAATCCAAAAGTAGGTATATACAGCAGCAAGATATCTTGCCACTGTAAATCTGGGGATCTCTGGGAGAGTTAAGATGCAGTGAGTAAGGTGTGCTCTAACTTTTTTCTGCAGGTGGATGCAGAACAGTACTACAGCGAGTTAGAAGAAAAGCGGACGGACGAGTTTAATGCTGAGAAGAACCGAATCACCATGAAGAGGCTGGGCATCGCCTTTGTGACTTTCCGTGATGAGAGAATGACTGCGGTGTGAGTAAACAACAGCATGACACCGAGGTTTATGTCTGCCAGGTCCTCTCATCACGTAAACCCTGTCACGACAGGGAGCAACCATAAAATTCATGGAGGAGCATAAAAGCAGGCGTTACTTAGTGCTGATGCAGATGTCTGCAGCACTTTTGTACATCTTGTTTTGTTTTTCAGCATTGTGAAGGACTACAGTCGCGTGCGCTGCCGTCGCAGACCCCAGCAGTCCAGCATCACCACTGTGGTGCAGTCACACAAATGGGGGGTCAGCTACGCACCTGCTCCCAGTGACATCATCTGGTCAGTGCTGACATTACTGACTCACATAATTTTGGTTTTTTTTTGGTGCTTCCCAATACTCATCCTTATGATACTTATGCTGTGCATGGCTGCAGGGAGCTGTAACCTATCCCAGCATGCACTGGACGAGAAGCATGGTACACAGACAGCCATTCACACTCACATTCACACCTACAGTACAAGCAGTTTATTAACCTGCATGTCTTTGGACTGTGGGAGGAAACCAGAGGACTAGGAGGCAACCCATGCAGACACATATTTTGAGTGTAATATCCAGTTTTATATGTCTTATTCATCATTTAGACACTTTCCCCTGTAATTATCCTGACATATTTGGTATCTTTGAAACCTCTGGATTGTGACTTGACTTTAAACCAAAGTTCTGCGGGCTGTAATAATACTTGTTGATGCAACATTAAATTGTAATGATGGACCTCAAAAACCCCTTTTATCTAGACAAGAGGTATGTATTATGCAAATTATGCACCTTGGCTTTGTCAGAGTATTTGCTTTAGTATTATTATTCCATTCCTATTTCTTCTTTCACTGAGCTCTTCTTTAGGAAAATCAACATAACTAACAGCAGCATTTAAGATGCATAAGTGTGTTGTTGCTCGTGTGTAGGAGAGCTCAAACACCATTTAAAACTCATTCCCTACCCATGATTGGATTAGCTATAATGCATGTTTCTTATCTTGGAAAGCAAATGCAGCAGCTCCAGCGAGATTATGTAACAAATGAGTGATGCATATGTATGGGAGATTTAACTAAAGAGATGGTAGCGCTCACTGTTTGATGATTGGTTGCAGTGTGTTTGTGTGCAAATGTGTTTTTGCATTAACTAGACGACTGGAGCAGGTACTTCTCTTCCTTCATTAAAACTGAGCATTGAAGTGTGCTTTTCCCCAACCTGCTCTCCAGTCCAGTGCAGTGGAAACACACTCACCAACTCACACACAAAGTGGTGACTGAGCTGGCTATTTCAGGCTTATGTCAATACATACAGTATAGAAGTGTCAGGGGAGAGTAGTGTATTAACTGTCCTGTCCATCCTGCTGGATGACTGTAAATTGACGCTCATTATTTCTCCCGTCACCAGGGAAAACCTGTCAGTGTGTGGATCGCGCTGGTGGCTCCGCTGTGTCCTCCTCAACATCCTCCTCTTTCTGCTACTCTTCTTCCTCACCACTCCCGCCATTATCGTCAACACGATGGACAAGTTCAACGTCACAAGGCCTGTGGAGACTCTGCGGGTCAGAATTTGAGATCGAGCTGAACTGTGTGACCTTAACGCTACATTTTAACCCTCTTCGGTGTCACTAATTAATAACTTTGCTGTCTAATCCAGAGCCCAGTCATTACCCAGTTCTTCCCAACCCTCCTGCTGTGGGCGTTTTCGGTGCTCCTGCCCTTCATCGTTTACTACTCAGCCTTCTTTGAGTCCCACTGGACCAGGTACTCACCAGCCATCGGCCACCACTCTCGTCTCTCCTCTGAAATGGAAATGCCTGTCCTTTGCTTCTTCAAATGGACCCTTCATGTGTAGATGCCTGTCTTCCTCTCAACTCTCAGCATTTCTTTTTTTTTTTTTCATCTCAATTATTTTTTTTTTCTCTTTCACCCTGTTGCTCTTTTTACTCTCTCTCCTCTCTCCCTCCTTCTCTCTGTCACTCTCCCTGCACTGTTATTCTGGGCAGGTTGTCATAGAGATCTCCATGTGAAGATAATGATATGCACAGTAGTCACCATGCGCACAGGAGCAGCACATGGTGACTAGCGGGAGGAGGAGCAGAACAACTGTGCATAAGGAGACAACCTCACGGAGCACCTATGAGCACCCTTTCTTTACATAACCACCCCCACAAACGTGTTGTGCAGGCGTGATGTGCGAAGGACCGAATGCAAATCAACTGTTTACCCGAGTGAAAAGTGTAGTTCGTGCTAATGAACCCAGCAGTCCTGTAAATGTAGAGTCAGCTGACTTTGCATTGCATTATTTCACACTACGAAATGATTATGTTGAAGGGAGCTGTGTGCATAGGGTTTATAACTAAATATGCATTGCATAATGATGTTCTTACGACCCTTTGTTATTTGCTTAATGTCTCAGGTCTGGTGAGAACCAAGTAACGATGCATAAGTGTTTTTTACTGCTGGTCTTCATGGTCATCCTCCTGCCCTCACTTGGCCTGTCAAGGTACACAGCAGTTCTTCACACTTAAAACAAACATATAACTTTTGGTTTCACTTTTACATTTTTTGGTACACCTTTTTTGTATTTTATTCTTTCTGTAGTCTGGACCTGTTCTTCACATGGCTCTTTGATGTCAATTTCCTGGATGAGAAGGACGTCAAATTCCAGTGAGAATACTCTTTTTGTTGAAATAAAATGAACCTTGAGTATTATGGTGCCTGAATAGACATTTGAGTTGCAGCACTCACAGGTTTGATTATTTTCATGTTGCAGGTGCGTGTTTCTTCCTGACAACGGTGCATTCTTTGTAAACTATGTGATTACATCCAGTCTAATTGGCACATCTATGGAGCTGCTTCGCATCCCAGCACTGACTGTGTATGCCCTTCGCCTCTGTTTTGCCAAGTCCCAGGCTGAGCGCATTCATGTCAAACGGGTTAGTGGAGCCTTTCATGCTTATCTCAGTGTTTTCATGTTAGGTTCAGTGCAGTTGATTAGGCTCTGTTTCATGTGTAAATCTTACTGTGTTTGTGTTTTTATCTGCAGAGTCAGGCCTATGAGTTCCAGTTTGGCCTGGAGTACGCCTGGACCATGTGTATCTTTGCAGTCAGTATGACCTACAGCATCACATGTCCCATTATTACACCCTTTGGTGAGCAACATACAGTGACCCTCCTTTATCCTCATCTACCTCTTCCTTCTGTCCACCTTCTGTCTATCTCCTCCATCCCATCATCTTCCCTCTTAGTCTTGTGTGTGTGTGTGTGTGCGCGTGTGTGTGTGTGTGTGCGTGTCGTCTCTTCTCATACCGTGACCTCACTCTCCTCTACTGCCTGCCAGTCCAATGCAGACTGTGTGAATTTGCTGCTGTAGTCCCAGACACCCAGACACAGTGAGTTGCGAGCCAGACGCCCACTCTGCTCCTGTCTCTGCCCAGAGCTCAACAAGCTTCTATTTACTTCTTGCATTCAAATCTTCAGTCCGAGTGGGCCCCTTTCACGCATAATAACCTGCTGTTCTGTGCATTTTACCTGTGTTGCTTTCTGCCAATTGGCATTTTAGTCATACACACATTTTTAAGAGGCAAACAATCTAATTGGTTGAGTTAAACCTCAAAGAAGCAACACATGATTTCATTCAACTGCCAAACCTGAAGGGCAAGATATTAATTTGAAAAATAAACTGAAATTGCTTGTTTATTTTATTTTTTTATTTTATTTTTTCGTTTGAGGCCCTTAAGCTTTACTGTATGTGTGGGGTTTGGTAAAGGTTGGGTGAATGGGGAGAACAAAATATGAAAATTCAAGAACTATAGCAGGACTTTCTGTCTTTCTACTTTACACCAATTACCCTTCATTTTTCAGAATGCTTTAGTGTTTTAGATGTTTAAATGTTTTCATGCTGTAGGTACTGATCAGTCAATACTTGTGTGTTTTCTTGTGCCCCTCTAGGTCTGCTGTATCTGATCCTGAAGCACATGGTTGACCGCTACAATATCTACTATGCATACGTTCCCACCAAACTCAACCAGCGGATCCACAGAGCAGCCATCAGCCAGGTCACCGTGGCTCCCATCCTCTGCATGTTCTGGCTGCTCTTCTTCTCCATGCTCAGATTAGGTACATTATCACTTCCATTTCTATCCTGTTACATTTTCGGCAACCATCATTGTATTGTGACTATACATTGTGTATACACTGTGACACTGTAATTTCTTGCAATCTCTCCTTACTGTCACAGGTCTAGTGCATCCCATCACCCTCTTCACCTTAGTGTCCCTCCTCTCTGCTATTGCCTTTTCCCTCTTCCGCTTGTGCCTTAGGAAGCAACAAGATAAGTCAACGAGCTACCAGGTCAGCTCCGCCATACCTCACTGAGATAAGGTTCAGTTAAGGATTCACGAATACTGAATGAATAGTATGTATTTTCTTTTTGGTTTCAGATGTCTGATCAGCCAGCAGAGGGGACGTTCACTGATGCAGACAGGAGTACTGTAACACCCACTACTGCCTCCAGTGTACAGTATCCCATTTTTCTCATCTTAACCTAACAACACACCATTAAAACACATCTTAGAGGAAATGTCTATTTTTGCATGTTTTCCTCTATTATTAAAAATAACATATACTTTTCACGATTGCCAAACATTTTACAGAGAATTTTTTCTCTGTAATGTTTTCTCGGTTTCTAGCATCCGCAACTTCCAGAGACTTGAAACTTGACAAATCAAGCTCAGTTTAATTTGTGTTAAAGTGACATTAAGTATTGTTCCTAAAGGAGTGTGAAGTGTAATAAATGGGTTAACAAAACAACCAGTATGCAGTGGTGTAGTATAACATGGTACATTTACAGTACTGTAGTTAAGTGCAGTTTTAAAGTTTTATTTAGTATTAGGATATTTGTAATATACCAGCCAACAAAAATAAAATTAGCAAAACCTTAGCAACATATAATATACATACTATAACATTAAAATGATACACATCAAAGCATAAATAATAGCTAATAATCCAATAATATTAAATTAGTATAATGGATACATTTCCTGCAATATATATAATTGTTTTTGCCATTTACTTAATTTTTTAGACTGGATCCTGGATATGAACACAAATTATTAATTTGTTAAGATCTTAACTTGTATATTAACTTCTTAAGTGCATGGTGGGGAATAACACCATCATTTAAAACCATAATTTCACTCCTCATGAACTGAGTGATTTACTGTGACACATAATCGTAAACTGTACGTTGATCTTCCTCCCTCAGCTGTTTGTGGCGTCCGTGCTGCTGGAGCCCGAGCTGGCTTTGACTCCCATGCCCTCCCCGGCCCACCACGGCTACGGCGCCATGGCCAGCTCCCAGAGTTCAAGCCACGGCCCAGGGGAGGAAGAGGTGTGCGAGGAAGACCACGCACAGACCCATGAGACTGAGCTCCAAGACCCCCCCGACCCCTACTGCTCCAGCCCACTCATGGACAGCCCTGTGAGCTACCAGTAACACCAAATCTCCCAAGCTGATTCCACTTGTCCTTCACCTGGAGAACACAGATTGCTAAATGCCGCAATGCAGCATTTTTGCCACTGACCTCAGACTCCAACTTAGCTGCCTCAGACCCTGAAACTTGGCTTGTTAGACTGGACGAAGAACCCGAAGACAAAAGAAGAATACAGGAGCAGTCTATAAATGTATAAATGTATAGACAACAGTTTAACAAAACATCTCCTGAACCTGTCGTATGGAAAGAAACATCCATCTCAACAGAAAAAAACATCCACCCTTAAATGTACAGATCATTTTAGTTAAACTATTGGATGCTCCATGACAGGGAACCCATCTTCTTCTATGGTTTCATTTGCAAGTTAAAAAGGTTAAAAGTAATGAAAGTGACTGGGGTGGAATTGCCTTTCGGTAGCTGTCAGAGATTCTCTGTCCATGCTGTGCCACTTGTACATGAGTGGAGGTGAAAGTTCCCATCAGAGTGGGTGGTGTGAGCAGGCTCGCCCCGGCAGACTGACAGAGTGGTCTGGGCACGGGTGATATCTGGTTCCTCGGCAGCAGAGCTCAGGGAGGCTGAGGGTGAGGGCAGCTAGTTGTGAAGCCATCTGCAGTGAGAGAGCAGACAGACGGAGGGCCGAATGTAACTCAGAGATGTACTGTAATATATGTACACTCTCTCCAAGGAGGCACAAGCAGCTTGACTGTACCTGAAGCTTGTTGTAACTATTATGAATTTAAGGTTGCTATTTTTGCTACAGTATTTTTGGTGTCATTGATATTGTGCTTTGGGTTGGGGCAGGGGGCTACTGGAGATTGGTTAAGGATTAGCAGAGCTGTCCCATCTTCATCAGAGTATTCCCTTATAATGCTGTTTTGGCTGTGTATGTAATGCAACTTTTAATTTTATTTAAAAGGAATAGTTTTTTTTCCTACATTTTGCACACGCTAATTTCCTTTCTTGCCAAGAGTTGGATGAGAAGATTGATACCACTCATGTCTGTACAGTAAATATGAGGCTACAGCCTGCAGCCATTCTTAATGCTAATCTAAGCTAACCAGCTGTTGGCAGTAGCTTTATATTTAGATACAGTATGAGCCTGGTATCAGTCTTCTCATCTAGCTCCTACCTAGAAAGCAAATAAGTTTATTTAGTCAGTATAACTATTAGTAATGTGAGCTATAGGGTGATTAAAAGCACATCCTGGAATTATAACATTTTGAAAATATGCCATGGATTCTACTTTCTCCCATTGTAAGACAATATGGAAATCTCTATACGAATTTATTCATTTAGCTAATTATGTGAAATACTGAAAGTAACTACAACCTGTTACTACTTAAGCAATTATCTTTAGTTTTTTGGTTGTGAAAATTCTCAAAAGAAAAAGAAACTATTATAAGTTACCATAATGGCTCAACATAATTTATTTGTATTTATTTGTTCAGTGTTGCTCAAATATTTCTGTGCAAAAAGTTTAGTTGTGTGTATGTTAATACACATAGGCTACAAACACTAAAATTCAAGCACCATTATATACTTTACCATGATTTCAGTTGCATTAACCTATTCCGTGTGACACTTCACTGCATGTCCTACTGTATGTTGTACAAATGAGGTATGCATTCATATCCTTATCCTTTAGATCAAGTGTGACATGTGCTAATATCATGGGTTTACAGTCAGTCTGTATGTTTGCAAGTTTTGTATTTTGGGGATATTTTTATTTCTTTATGATGGGATGAAACGTTTTCCCATGAAACTGAATGTAAGCTGATCTTGTTCATTATTCATGTTTCTTGCTGTGCCTTGAACAAACACTCCCTTTTCGTGTGACAATCCAGCATGGCCTGAAATATGCTGCATGGACTGAAAACTGAAGAGCAGGAAAACAACCAAGAGATTAAAAACACAATAACAACAAACACAGAAACAACCCAGAGCAGTGATTTTCATTCAGCAGTTGACAAGCAGTGAGCTCATTCCACCAAGATATTGACTGAACAATCTTCACACAAGGCCCACTTATTACCACTTACTTATTACCACTTACTGGATCTTTCATCCTCATCACATGGTCTTCAACAACCAATTAGTTTGTTCAGTTGTCATGGATCTGTACATGTTCAAACTCTTTACTCTATGCTGTACTTTTTAGGACTTTAGTCCTCTCAAGGTCCACTTACTTGCTTTCTCTGTAGCTTTAAAGAATAAACTAAAACAGTCAACGTGTACAGCAACATGGACATGGAGTTAGAAGGTTTGAACATCTACAGATCAGTGACAACTGAGTAAACTTCCCCTGCTGACAAAGATCATATCATATGGACGAAAGGTGTGGAACAAGCAAGTAAGCAGACCTTGAGTAGTGATTTTTTTTTTCTTGTGTGTCTTTACGTCTTACTTTACGTTACGCAGTTCTGTCGTTTTTTATAGATGTTTTGTGTCGTGGCCTCGTTGGTGCCTTGCTGTTGAGTTCAGCCAATATCTTTTCATTTCGTAGCTGCTGTATTCTTTACTGCTGTACTTCATATGCTTATTGATCATATAAGCTGTATGGCCAAGCTCGCTTAGTCCATTTTGTGTTCTGTATGAGGTTTGTTTATTATAATTTGAATCATGTAAAATCATTGGCCTGTGATATGAATTTGAAAAAAAAAAGACTTTCAGCCGTACTTTTATAAAACTGATGGTATATTATTGCATAAAATGAAATGTATTTGCTCCATTTTACAAGGAATCTAATTCTAGTTCCTCATGCTGTATAAAACAGATGAAAGCTGGCAACAGAGATGAAGTGGTCATTGCAGTGAATCATGAAGTAACATCTATTTGGAAAAAAAAAACATCAAAGACCATCTCAAAGTTTCTGTCTCTGAACTGCCAACATGTCCTGTGGGTTTCTCTTGCAGAAGCTTGTTTCACAGATCATTAAACGTACTTTCCTTTGAAAAATACAAAATAAAACTTATTAGGGTATTCTTAGCTCTAATGGCCATGCAAGGAGGGATTGTCCATTTTCATGCTTAACTGGTTTTATTGTATCCTGTCACGTCTGTTCATATACTGTTGGCTTGGCCATCCAAAGTCTATTTGGAGGTAGGCCCTATATTAGCTTTCCAGACATGTTCAGCCTGGTATCACCATTTGCTATTGGTTATGAAATGTGTGTATCATCTTTATTTTATATGTGAGCAGCCTGCCGTAAATGTCGGTTGTTATATCTCCAAGAAGGTTGAGGGTAAGGGACAGACTGCATTTGAGATTGATCTGTCAGGCTAACGAGTTTTCATCTGTCAAAAGTAAAGTGCTGTGATCTGAAATTAAAATTAATTCAGCTCAATCCACTCATCTTGTGCCATGAACTCCTTATTGTTCTGCTCTGCTGTGGTCTATGATGAAGGGTTTTTGAGAGGCAGTGAGTGGGCTCATGTGGGCTAAGTAGTGCAAGAGTGAATTTTCAC